TGTGTAGCAGTGTAGCCTTTGTGGCAATATTAGAAATAGCATACACAAAGTTAACGTATACAGAAAAAATAGCATGCACAAGAGGCTTACCGCCCATGTTTTGCTGTCTCAGCAATAGTTTATTTGGACAGATAAATGGAAGAGTAACATCCATATACTGTGAAAACAATATTTACAATATCATTTAAGTTTAGACCATTGGTCTAACTCAGTATTTTCTATACATTGATGCAGTGGCTCTCTATGGTCTCTGCTAGCACTGCCTGGAGATGTCAAAGATTTAATGCAAAATGTGATGTACAACGGAGCCACAGCCTGCCCTGCCCTTTAGTTTCTGGAGAGAAAATAAATGTCATCGTACATCTCAGAAATATCAAATTAGGAATGCATATTCTGAAGACAGCATCAGTGCTGAGAACTCGAATGGCATGTATTATTATAGAAGTTATCTCTGGTGGCTCATGAGCTCATATCTTGGGCTCACGCATTGGCAGAAAGAGACCTTTCGCCATGGTGGGGAGGGCAGCAAAGCCTGCAAATCGTGCTGCCGAAGCTCTGCGCCCAAAATTCCCTTTTGGGCTTCTTGTGCTTTCCCCAATACCCTCTCCATGATCGAGCTTTCCCCGGAGGTTAAAGCACTCACTCTATCTCCGTTAGCGGACACCTAAGAAAAGCATAGCAAGAATAGTGGGAATGTGCCTGAAGCAAGGGAAAGTTCTCAAGAGCTAAACTAGTGAGTAGTGTTACTCTTAAGTGGCATCTAGGTCATTTCTGTTGCAGCCCTGAGCCACCAATATATTGTGTTCTGCAAGATTGTGACGTGGGGGGCGCTGTGGGTTAAACCACAGAGCCTAGGACTTGCTGATCAGAAGGTTGGCGGTTTGAATCCCCGTGACGGGGTGAGCTCCCGTTGCTCGGTCCCAGCTCCTGCCAACCTAGCAGTTCGAAAGCACGTCAAAGTGCAAGAAGATAAATAGGTACCGCTCCGGCGGGAAGGTAAACAGCATTTCCGTGCGCTGCTCTGGTTTGCCAGAAGCGGCTTAGTCATGCTGGCCACATGACCCGAAAGCTTGTACGCCGGCTCCCTCGGCCAATAAAGCGAGATGAGCGCCCCAACCCCAGAGTCGGTCACGACTGGTCCTAATGGTCAGGGGTCCCTTTACCTTCACGCCCTTTAGGCTGATGTTCTAGCATTATCGAAAGACTTTCAGGGCCTGTGGCTTAGAAATTGCGTCTAAATTTTAATAACTAGAGCTGAGGTGAAAATGCCAATAAAATGTTTTTCCATGAAAGCCTCCTGAAAGATGATGGGAAAGGAAGAATTTCTCTCAGTTTTTCAGAAGGAGGTTCCTGCTTGCATTACCTAATCTTACAAGTTGGTCATGGTTCCCACCACCACCACCACCCATCCCTCTTTGTTTGGTTTTAAGCAATAGTTCTTGTGCTACTCAAAAGTGCCCTGCAATATTGACAGTGGCACAGGGCTCTTCCCCCAGGAATGTACTGGAACTGATGCCACATCACGTCATATTGTCTCACTCCCAAGGCTCTCTGCAAAGCTCAACCATTTCTGAGATGTTTCTTTCTGAGAAGTTTTTCTCTGCCCCAAGAAAGCAGCAGAAAATCACTGCCTATTATTATTATTATTATTATTATTATTATTATTATTATTAACAACTAATAGGAAACTTTGAGGGAATTTTGGTCGAGTCTTAGTTAGAATTGACATTTTAAGGAGTTGGCAACAAACATGTCTTTAGCAGCAACTGCAACTAGACTACATTTGGCTTCATTATACTTGGAAATCTTTGAATGGCGTACTGTGATAGATTGTGAAGATTACCTGCACAATAAGCCATTACGGCTCCTTGGGAACAGGTTTTGCTGAACATACTAATGAGCTCACCATGAATTTTAAAATTCCTTAAACTATGTTTTGCAGTTTTCATTTCCCCAGGAGCTATTTTCCTTAATGAAATAACACAATCCCATTTCAGCATTAATTTGAATGTATCAATAATAGCTTAATAATATTATGGATTCATAAAACATCCTGCAGGATTACTGTGTAACTCCAACTCTGCATTACCCCAAAATAACTGAAACTAAACCTCAGCTTGCGTACAGAATAGATAGCCTGTATGCTCAAATTTCATTATTTTGGAAGATTCGTATCCCCACTGGAGCTGAATGCATTTAATGACACGGAGAAGCAGGTCCAAGATTTGTAGGTCACCCACTCTCCTTTTTTACTTGATGTGTGGCCTTGTGAAATCCATAGTGGTCACAGAGCCAAGTGCAAAAGAGAAGCACAAATAGGTTGTTCGGCAACCTAATTAAATTGTAGTTCTATGCTTCAGTTTTGGGAAATTATTTAGAGCACAGATTTGACTGACTTGTTTATTTAGTGCGTTTTTATCCCACCTTCCTTTCACCATAGAGCTCCATGTTGTGCATATGGAATTTCCATAGAGTGTACCTTCCATGGCTAACCAGACCATATCTGCTTTTTGTATGGTAGCTGTAGAATCTACCCCGAGACCAAGTTCCAATACGTCTGGCATGTGTTCTTCCTTATTTGTGACATTATAATTTAAACACTTTAACCTGTGTTCCTCTATCAGTTTCAACTTGGACCCCTCCATGTCAAAGCCAGCATCAATAATCTGTTCCACAGAAGAGTGTACAAAAGCTCGTGGGTAGATACAAGCTGATCTGCAAGGATCTGTGGGCTGGCTTTTAAATTCCAATATTAGAAGCCAATCTCTCTTCCCTAAAACCATGCACAAGGAAACCTCATAAGAACAAGATAGCAGAGGCCCTTTCTTCCTAAATCACATTGAGATGATTGGGTACATACACAGAAATCCAAAGAAACCAAAACTTTTTGTAGGTTCCTCATCAGAGGAGCATTTGAACCATGAGACACTGTTGGAGAAGAAGGCAGCATCTTCATCAGGATCCTAACCTTCTCTGAAACTTCATGCCCCCCCCCAAAATCTTCCATACCCCCAAAAGGGAACAGTTCCACGGCATGAGAACTACTGACGTAAGCAATCATAAGTCTTTCCTCATGACTACCAGTCCTGTAATTGCATCTCACTGCCAAGTCAGGAAATAGGAATATTCTCAGTTTAAACAATCAAATTTTTCACCGGTATGAAATGGCAAACAGCGATGCTTGTAGCAGTTTAACAGAAACTCTGTGAGACTGGACAGTTCTCCTAATGCATTCGACAACTTCAAACTTAAAAAAAACCCAAAATGGGCACGTAGGCTTTTCTAACCAGTCTCACATCTGCCCTAGTACACAGACATATTTCACCCACTCCTCCTGGCTTTCCCACTTGGGCTCCATGCACCCAATAGGTACATTTCACTTCTTTACAGTCCCTTACCAGATGCATGGACTGCATTCTCCATTAGCTAACTGTCAGGTACCTGCTAATTTAGTGATAGATGATATGAGATAGCATGATCCAAGATGCAAGGTTATGGAAGACACTGGTGAAGGGTTGCTGAGGATTTGGCATAGGGTGGCTGGGCAGGTGACTCTCTCCCTTTGTTGCTCTGACCAAAAGAGTGCTCCTAGCTTGGCCTCAGCCCTTCTGAAAAGGGTCACGTGACTTCCTCTGGCTCAGACTTCACCAACTTGATGTCTTCCAGATGCTATGGATGACAGTTCCATTCAGCTGATGGGCACTGTGGTCTAAAACACCTGGAGGGCACCAGGTTGGCAAATCTGATCTGGGTGGCTGTTATTCGTTTGGCTGCTCTCCTTGTAATTTCCTCTGCCCAGTGGGAATGGACAGTAATAATCTATGTCAATCCACACACAAGCCCTCACACGACTGTTGTGACTATGAACAAATTCAGTCTCAAAAAGCTATTTTGCACACCAACATCCTAAGCATATTTCGTTGGAAACAAGTTCCATGGATTTTCAGTGGCAATTATTTCCAACCATACGTGTTTAGCACTGCAGCTTAAAATGTGATCATAGCTGCTAATAATTGTTGCTAGTAAGTTATTGCTACCAATGATTCGTATGCGTGTAGCTGCATTGTATTGATGGAATATGCAGGTCTTTTATGTTGTCCTTTGTCAGAGGATTTGCAATTCATTCTTCAAAGTGGCCTGCCAGCAAAGAGCGTAGAGGATGAATGGCACTTGTGGCCTTTTGAGGATCAGGCTGCTCCAAGCTAATGAGATCATATTCTTACATCGTCAACTGCAGCCGTCATGATTTTATGAACATAAAGTATGAAGTCCTTTCTGCATCTGGGTTCCCTTTTGATGTGGATCTCGCTGCGGAGGGACTGCTAACTGAACTGAACATTTCAAGGAAGCCAATTTACTCAGCTGGTTGCAAACCCTTTGACCTCAATAGTGGAACTTGGCAAATCAACGAATACCCGAATATTTAGTGCTCTTTCAAGAATTGCAAAAATGCTCCATAGCCCATAGATCCTCCTGCAGAAATCTAGTTTGTATTTTAAACATTAGTCTTTCTTCTTCTTTCTTTTTTAGGCCAATGAGACTAGTTAATTAAGCCTGAGGGGTTATGAACTGTTGGCAGTTAATAAGTCATAAAATTCCTCCATAAAACAGGATGCTAGATTCCATCACTGAGACAAGGAGTACAAAGAGCCGGTGTATAATATCTAATTGTACAAAAGGACTGGGGTTTCTCAATGACTGCTCATCTGGAGTCTCAAGGGCATGCTCACTGTGGTTTCCTGATTTTTAGAAGCCGGTTTAAAAAATGAGTGTATTAAAGAGTAATTTGCCTGAAAGTTCAGGAAGTTTGGGGTGGGGAAGGGCGGGTGGAAAGGGGGGAGAGAGAGAGAGAGAGAGAGAAGAGGAAGGAAGGAAAAAGAAAGAAAGAGAAACACAAAGAGAGGGAGAGAGAAAAGAGGAGGAGAAGAGAAAGCAAAAGGGCTCTCGGCACACTGGCTTGGACATGATTGTGTTTGTCATCTGTTTTCTTTCCCCTTTAGGATGTTCACCATGGCAACGGTACACAGCAGGCTTTTTATGCTGACCCCAGCATCCTGTATGTCTCTCTCCATCGCTATGATGAAGGCAACTTCTTCCCTGGCAGCGGAGCCCCAAATGAGGTTAGGTTTATTTCTTTAGAGCCCCAATTTTATTTGTATCTTTTCGGGTAATTGCGTTGCATGATTACCCCTAATTTTCTCATCCTCGACTGGTGCTTTAAATTGCACTAGATTACCAAATAGTCCACAGGGGCCAAGGGACCAGCGCAGAACAAGTGCATAACCCAGAACAGTCCTTGTCAAATGGGGGCCAGGTTGATTTGACATGCCGTTTGATGTTTGTTTCAAAAGGACGTTTTTTGGATGTTTTCTTATTTTGATTCACTCCTGGCCTTTCCTCTCTCCCACCCCCTTCCTCTGGCACTTCCCCCCCTCCTCTCCTACTTCTCCTTTCAGGTTGGAAGTGGCCCTGGCGAAGGTTATAATATAAATATTGCTTGGACAGGTGGCTTGGATCCCCCCATGGGAGACGCAGAGTACCTCACAGCATACAGGTTGGTTCTTGTTTCCTTCTGAAAGTGCCAAACAGAAGTAACCGAGCTTGAAACGTACAAGAGTTAGAATTGCAGCAATCTTGAAAGCCATAAACGTGACCCATGGTGGAACCTGGCTTCAAGTTTTTGAAAAAAGGAGAAAGAAAGATCTGTTATTATGTAGAGTTTGGAGACTTCGCTGAATTTCACAAAGAGTCAATGTTAATATTGCTGGCCACCCACGAGAGAAGCACACACACCACTTCATGCCTGAAGCAATCGTGAAGTAGCCTAGATTGCTGGATTGTTTTGGTTTTTTGCCCCCACCCTGTAAACTGGTTAAAATTAAAAGCCTTTTCAAAGGTAAGAAATATAATGAAAATCCTGAGTAAAGTGTTGGCATCATGAACTAACCAGGATCACGCTCAGTTCCCATTCATTCCCTGGAACTTGCTTCCTGGTATATGGAAACTCACTGTTACACCCTGACCAAACATATACGGAACTAAGACCTACTGTTGTCAATGACATTCATGATCTTCCATGTAAGATGTTTAAGAATGGGGGTGTCAATTAATAGGAATGCAAGTTGAGAGGATAATGGGCATCACAACCAGCCATTGTGCACATTCCCCTGGCCTCATGGAGAATATGCACACAATCCATGAAGAGGGAATTGTGCATCTTCCCAAGTCAATATAGCAGAATTTGGGGGATGTGCCTATCTCGGCTGAATTTTGTACATTCTCTGGGCAGTATGCACAAACTCTGGTCAGTATGCACAACCTCCATGATATATGCCTTATTCTTTCTGCGTCTCATTCAGAAATGTGAGCCCCTTCCTGTCTGCTTCTGGACCACGGCCTAATCTTAAATAGCCCACAACATACCATTCAAGCCAAGAGGACTCCAGAAAAATATTAACTTTCTTCTAATGTTCAACCTCCTTTAGACCACTCTCGGTTGTTCCTCAGTCAGCTGAGCTACACAAGGGGGATTGCTCATGTGTATTGTGGTCAACAAATGAATATTCATTGAGAGAGAAAAGTAGAGTTTTCACCTCTTAAAGAAAAGTTTGACTGAAATCTTATAAATATGCTGGGAGTATGCCTCACTGATTCAGCGGGGCTTAGCTCTAAATAGATCCACACAGGATTGGGCTATTTGTTGACCATTTCAGCCAATTAATTAATTATATGTACACAGATTTTCATATGGTTAAATATTATTTCTGCAGAGAGAAAAAGTATGCTCTGTTTTTATACTATGTGTGTACTGTGATTCCGCAGTCACCATCCTAGAAGAGACATTTCAGTCTGAGTTTGGGAAAAGGGGGGAGTGGCTACATTTTTTGCGAGTTTTTATATTTAAAATAACGGAGGGAGAATCTGCTGCCAGATTCATCAGTGGCATTCTTTAGCAATATTTTTAGTCAGTCAATTGTTTGTTTGCTGTGTATTATTCATACCCTGCATTGTTTTACAATTAAAATAGTCAAATGGCATAATATAGTCAAAAGGACCACAAGAGTCATCTAGTCCAACTCCCTGAAATGCAGAAATCTCTCACCCAATATGGGGCTCGAACCCTGAGATTAAGAGTCTCATGCTCTAGGGACTGAGCTATCCAGCCTGTGGGGCTAATTAGCCCCCCCCCCCGGTCATTTCAGTCAAAGCACACAGACCTGGTGGGATAGGCTAACTTGTGGATGCAAAGAGCACCAGATTCAAAAGGAAGAGTGCTCCTGATTCTTCCTTTCCTGCTGTAGCTCGAATTTTGTGCTTTTAAAATTTGATACCTTTTTCTATCATCCTGCACAGCACCTCATCTTAAGAAAAAGCACCAAATTTGAGCTGGGCCTGAAGAAACTCCCTTTGCAGCCTCAGTTTGAATTCAAAGGGGGAAATGGGGTGTGCACCTGGGTCGCATCCACACCTTTACATTTAGAGCACCTGGCTTCCCCCAAAGAATCCTGGGAACTGTAGTTGGTTTTTTTAAGGGTGCTGGAAATTGTATCTCTGTAAAGCATAAACTACAGCTCCCAGGATTCTTTGGGAGAAAGCCATGACTTATCAAAGTGCTCTAAATGTATGGTTCCCCTTTGTAATGGTAGAAGGAAGTTAAAACCACCTGACACTATGTGACACATCCAGCCCAACATGTCAAAGTAGCTCATGGCTGATGTTGGCCAATTTTGGATCCAGCTCTTTGTGGCATCCAGTTCCCTACCCTTAGAAGTGTGTTCAGCAGACTTTTATGGCAGCTGCTATCATCATATTCCAGGTTCCATTCTGTTTCTTCTGGAGGGAGTGGGCAGACATTACTGCTGTTGGATTCACAGGTTCGGGGATGGCAAAGATGGCAACACACTGAAGCAGCCCTTTGGATATATCCAGTGCTTTTTTTCCTTTAAAAAAATGTTTAGGGGTACTCTCATTTTGACTCAGGAAAATCACCTTTTTATAGTTCAAATCGGGGGAAATAAATACAGTAAATGGACAAAAGTACAAAGATTCACAAAATGTTTAGGGGTATGCATACCCCTGCATCCCCCCCAGAAAAAAGCACTGGATATATCCACACTGCCTCTTGGTCCCTGGCTGTTGACACCACAGTTTAACCAATTAATCAAATAAATTTGGCATCACTCGCCGATTTGCTGCTTTAAGATATCAAACCTGCCTTTCACATCCAAATTCAGATGTATTAATAAGGCAGCCAAATACAGGTTGTTGCCAAACAGTAGCATATAAATTTAAAATGTAGCTAAGAATTATACATATAAATAAAAAAAACCCCATGATCTATGCAATAAATAAAACACACATGAAAGAACAGAATCTTAAACTTCATCTACCTAGTCTATGTTGAGTAGCCTTCACTGTGAGTTTAGCTATATTAAACATTACAAATTTGTATGAACCAGACAACAGATATTTAATCTTATCCCTGTCACTGACTGTAGCAGCCAGTGCTAAAGATTTCTCCTTATATTTTAGCCTAGGTGTTTCAGACAGTTTAATGTGTAGTGTATTGTGTACTCTACCCAGGGGCTACCGCATACGCAAAAGTACTTTCATGTCCAGTTTTCTGCTATTGCAGCTGCACAACTCTTTTTTTCCTCTCCTCCCTCTTACGGTGAAATTGCTTGATGAAGTAATGCATGTCAGGACTGGGCAAACAGTTGGCATTGGGTCAAGAATGCCAGGTCAAGTTTGCAAAAGCTAGTTCAGAACTTTACCAGCTGACAACGAAACCACTAATTTCTGCTCTGACCAATGTCAGAACTTATAATTGCAAATGTTATATCTGCTGCATACCTTCGCTGCACTGCAAATATACCACAAAATCTATAAAACCTGCCTTTCCTCTACCCCCCAGGACTCTTGGGTGGTCCAGGAAAGCACAGCTCTGAGGTGGTTTTATATTCAGACATAACACACCTGACATCGACCCCAAACACACAAGCAACATAAAATCACAGCCTCGCACTGTTTCTGTGAAATGGGTTTTGATTTCATATACATAATTTGCCTATCGTGGAAAACACCTTGTCAAAGATTCAATTACTTTTAAGGTACGCCGTCCAAGCTGGTGAACCTCAGATGGTACCCACTTCTATATTTTCATTAATTCTTTGCTGAGGTCAATTAAAAAGTTGGACACAAAAAAATAGGGTGTTTAGATGGCACAAGGGTTTGGTGCTGGAGTTCAGCTTCTCTCACCTCCTAAAAGCTTGGTTCACATTCAACCCCAGTTAGTGAATAAGGGTAGAATACTGGAAGCTGAGCCAAGCACATTTGGTGTTTAGTTCAACCGCATGGCTATCAGAAAAATTTCCACAGTTGGACTGATGGTATCTCATCTGAAGGGCCAGGGAGGAATGCACCCTGAGGTAACTTAGCACATGTGTCAGTCACTGAAACTAAACCCAGTCTTTTTCATTCAGAATCAAGGAGCATTTGGGACCTGCAGTGTGAAGCGAATTGTGCCGTGCTCCCGCTCTCCAAATGGCTTCTGATGCTGTGGAGGTTTGCTTGTGGTCAAGGAAAGTGGCTGCCTTGCCATATCCACATGCTTTGATTTCGCTTCCTTTCGTGTATGAAAGAGCAATTTAGCCCATTTAACTGAACAGTTTACTTAGGCGGATAGCCTGGGCTGAATGCCCTTGTAGTAAAATAAGAGGCCTAGCCCCGTGTGGGACATAAACTGAACATCCTACTTCTTGGCTGCTATGCTTTCTTGACTATCGTAGTCATGGTCTCCCCACACCCACTCAGTGGTGGGTGTGGTGACTGGTGTCCTTAGGGACCGGATGGGCAGAAGGTAGGAAGACCAATAGTATGTGGCACCAGAGCCAATGACAGCCAGAGCCAATCTATTCTAGCTTTGTCCCCATCCTTTCCCCTGCTAGGATTATGCTGAGGCAATACTGAGACTAAGGAGGAGGAGGACCACCCCAGACTTGTTGTAAGTGAAAAGGCAAGCAGGTGGTAGCTGACTGGTGGCAGACTGAGCAGTGCTCATTTCACTCTAATGGATTAGCTCCCACATCCTCTTTCTTTCTATTTTTCTTTATGGGTCAGGGATTTTCTGTTACATACGCTCTCCATAATTTTTACAGTTGCTCTGCCCATGTCCTAAAATGTAGAGAAGGGAATTCAAAGGAAGTGGACTCCCGAATTACAGGACAGACCCCGTAGTTACACAGGGGGTACTATGCAAGCAAGGAAGCAGAAAAAATTATTTGACTGTAAGTGGTCAAAACTCTTACTGATATGAAATCATTGTTTATCCAGATAGATTAAAGGAAGAGTTAGACACTGGCTTTGGCTAGGTAGGGCAGAGGAGGAAACACCCAGTGATTGGGATGCAAAAAATGGGGCACGCCTAGACTTGGGGGATAATTTAAACTAGAGTTACTTTGAAAATGAACAAAAATGTAATGCAAGACAAAAATGGTGACTCTGTTGGAATAGAAAATGTTTCAAAACATTGGCAAAAAAAACCCCATCAAAATC